TTCAAACAGTAGTTGCTGGCCAATCATCCATGCAGACAGATACATATATCTTTTATCTTTGTAACTACACTAAAAAGCCTGGAAACAGAGCAAACACTAATTCAAAGTAAAGTATTACTTTAAGATATGTTTACCTTCAGCCAAAATTTGAATTGTTTGGAAAGATTCACAGGCTATCTAACTGAAAAGAGAGATGGAACTAATTATTTCCAACATGGGAAAGCTTAGTCATTTAGCAGCTTAAATTCATTAGGTCACAGTTTAGCACTATTAAATAAATTCATGGTTTAAAATTTTCTAAATGCCTAGTAAAAGAAATTTTGTTTCTCTTGTCTAATTCTAATCTCAAGAGTCCCTTAAGCATTCTTTCTGTTGTAGTCAACTTCATTTGTCTGCTAAGACTCCCCAAATGACCTAAGGGAGGAAATTTCCCAAATGTTGATTGTTCTCACTAGTAAAACTAGAGGAGCATGCAGTCCATTGGCTATCAGCCCTAAGGGTGAGAATAAAATTATAAACTGCCCAATTATATAAAAAAATTGTCTTGTACCTTCCATGTCCACAATTTAATCCACAAAATAAGTAATTTATCAAGTTAGTTGAGAAATGAGTAAAATGAAAGTTGAAGAGATAAACACAATTTGCAGGGGTCAAGTATGCGAAGTATGCCTGGCCCAGACAGGTGGGAGGGAAATGAAAGCTGTATTGCCGTGAAGGTATCTGACAACCAGGAGTTCGGGTTGAAAAGATAACTGTGGATAAAATATATCTTGGAGTAAAAAAGGAAAACAAAAAAATAGAAGGGGGAGCTTAAAAAAAGCTACCTATGGCTTATAGAACGTTCCTTCCATCAGTCTTTAAAATTATAGTTGTTTTTGAAACTGAAATCCAGATCCCCCTGGCTACATTTTAAGTTTCCCAGAGCTGTTACCATTGCTGTCTGGAAGAGCAAGCAGGAAGGGATGTAAAGAAAAGATGCTATCATCCAGGAAGCCAAACAAATCAGTTTTGTCATAGCCCCTTCTACTTTCCTTTTAATGGCACAAGAGTAATAACAGAAACTTCATACTTAACATACTTAAGAGATAACTTCATACTGATGACAAGCATCTTTAGAAAATTAGCCAAAATATCCACTGTAATGAGCTATCTTGCAAGGTTAAATAATATAGACTACAGTCATACCAGTTTTGAGCTTCTGAATGAACAAACTGCAAGTCTACTTGCCAAAGAAAACCAAGATGAGAACAGGAGCAATGAGTCAAAAATTGGCTCCCAGAAACCATTTTTGGGGTGGGGGGGGAGACTGGAGGGTAGAAGAGAGGACTAAATTTGCTACAAACATAAACACTATTTATTACCAAGGTACGATATGAAAAATCTGAAATTTCAACTGGGAATTGTTGCTATACTACAAATAATGCATATTCACTGCACAGCACATGCCCTGGGGCAAAGTTAATTGCAGGAAATTTCACATCAAACTCCAGGCTCCTTACCACTTTGGATAGTAGAGGTGCTGAAAGAAGTTGCAGTTGCCAGGCTAAGCCTCTGCTTTTCAGCTTTTCAGTTATTTGTGCTAATATGCCAACTTTGTCATATTAGTTGTTACATACTAAGATTGGTCTGGGGTGTTTTTTTTTTTTTTTTGGCCTTTGAATGAAGATTCTCTCAAGAATTACAGCAAAAACTTCAGTGATTCAGAATTCACCAGTTACGAATTAATCTTCAATGCCAGAGGCTTTAGCAGTTTGTAATAAAAATTTGGTTTAGATGTCAAGATCAGTTAAGTCTGAAAGAAACAAGGTACTTTGAACCAACCCTCTCTACTAATACTTTGATATAAGTTTTATTTACCTGCTCCTAAACTATCCATAAAAGCAATTTTAAATGTACAACTTTTAAAATTTAAATAAAATACTAAAATTTTCTTGGGGAAAAGTTTGGGTTAAAGCAAAATATCAAAACAATTCTCCCATGCACAGTATACTTTGGACTACATTCTAAATATATTTCTTCTGGTTTCCTGAACTTACCTGTAATGACAGTATGCTCATACTCTTGTATTACATGGAACATTTATCAGTAACTCATACACATATATTACAGAAATCAAAGTTCATTTTGACCAATGAGGTTTAATTCATTACTTATTAAATGCTTTGCAAGGTAATACAAGGACATGTTCTAACATTTTACAGACATGATGAAACTTTAGTCGTGTTGGCCTTTTGCTTTCAAGTCTGTTCTGAACCTCTTACACCTGTTGGTGGGAATGTGAAATGGTACAGCCACTTTGGAAAACAGTCTGTCAGTTCCTCAAATGGTCCAAGAGCTACCACAATTCCACCCAGTAATTCTGCCCCTAAATAAAACACCAAGAGAAATGAAAACCTATGTCCACTCTGAATCTTGTGTATAAATATTCATAATAGCCCCAAAGTAAAAACAGCCCAAATGTCCATCATCTGACAAATGTGATACCTGAACAATGTGATATGATATCTGTACAATGGAATATCACCTGGCCATAAAAAGGAATGAACGGATACATGCTACAACATGGATGAACCTTGAAATGATTATGAAATGAAAAAAAAAGCCAGTTATAGAAGACCACGTATTTTATAATTCCATTCATAAGGAATGTCCAGGAGAGACAAATCTATAGAGACAAAAGGTAGAGCAGCTGCTGCCTGGGCCTGGGGGCCTGGGCATGGAAGGCAGGGGAGTGACGGCTAAAGGGTAAGGGGTTTCTTCCTGAGGGGACAGAAAGGCTTTGCAATGAAAATGTGGCAATGATTGTACACAACTGTGAATATACTAAAACCTATCAAATTACACACTTTAAATGGGTGAATTTTATGCATGTAAATTATAATTCAATAAATCTGTTATTTAAAAAATAATCTGTTCTGCCCTGGCTGGTGTGGCTCAGTGGAATGAGTGCTGGCCCGCGAACTGAAATCCGAGCCAGGGCACATGCCTGGGTTGTGGGCCAGGTCCCCAGTTGGGGGTGTGCAAAAGGCAACCAATCAATGTTTCCCTCCCTCTCTTCCCCTCTATCGAAAAGTATATAAATCTTTAAAAAAAAGTAAAAGAAAATTGAAAATAATAAATAAAAATAATAAAAATAATCTGTTCTGAGATGTGACGTAGTTGAGAATTGGCAAACTTCTTCCACAAAGATTTTCTGGTCAATAGTAAAAGAATTAGTTAAACTAACATCCAATTTACTTTATTGTAATTGGAACCAGCTTGTAGTATTTTGTTATGTACATTTCTAAAATGTGAATGCAGTTTAAGAAGGGACATCATTACATCAGATATTCCAGGCAGTCTGCCATGAGACATTTTTTTTTTTTTACTAAAAAAACCATCTTAAAAGGATTCCAGAGTATATCTTCTTTCTTGTTGCCTCATTCTCCGAATAAGCTGTAATTTCCCTAAAACTCTCAATGTTAAACAGTACTGGGCATGAGTAAATTCACTCATTAATTCAAAAAATATTTGCACCCACACTGCACACGGGGCACTGTTTTAGACACACATGTGTGAATGCGCGTGTACAAACAACAAAGTCCCTGCTCTTGTGGAGCTTCCAATCTAATAGGACAGGATAACAATACACAAACAATAATCAAACACTGGTTTTAAAGGCAGGTTATTAAAGCAGGGTGCTGTGCTGTGGAGGGGTATTTATTTTAGATGGAGGGGCTAGGAAAGGAGGCTTCACTAAGAAGTTATGTTTAAAGTGAGGAAAGAAGGTAGCAGCCATACAAAGATTAGGGAAGAAAGCTCCAGGCATGGGAAATAATTCTTACATGGCAGAACCAGGAGAAAAAAAGGATTAACTGTGTGCCACCGGTGACCAACTCTCCTCTGTGATCCTCATGCACCATTCATTCTCGTACAAGGGCGTGTGGCAAGGTGACCCATAGTCTGTGGCAGCAGTAAGGTGTCTCCGTACCTTAAACCTTTAAAAGGTCTCACAGCTCTTCAACAAGAGGAGGCCATCCCTGGTTAACCCCAACCTAAAGTGATCCTTCCTCCCTGTCCTTCTACCTCTCAGTGCCTGTCTGCACCACTCATTCTTTCAAACACAATGGTGCAGGGCACTCTGTTGGGAGTGCCGGGGCTTAGACAAAAAAGCCACGCACACCTCCACCGGTCTTAAGGAAGGAACTAATCTAGTAGCACAAAATACATAGGCATAACAACAAACACAAAGCAGAAAGTAAATGCAGGCCACAAAAAAAAATAGTTATAAAGTGTAAGAGTGGCCAGAGATTACTTTCAGCTTGAGCATGAGGGGAAGCTTCCTGGGGCGGGGTCCACGACAGCAGGGAGAAGCTGTGATGTATGAGAAGTCAACATGTGGGGAAGTCAACGTATCAATTTGTTGTAGCCCTAATTAACTTTAAGTGTATTTGTAAATATTTTTAGCTCCCCAACCAAGTTACAAGCTCAGGGAGAGAAGGCCTGATATTCCTTGTATTTCTCTGGGATATTTAGCATGGGATTTTGAGGAACTAGGCAATTCATTGTGGATTCACTGGAGGAGATGTCAACTTAGGCACTAAATGTGGCTTCGAATCAGATGATCCCCCAAACCTCTTTATACATCATATCACTTCAGAGTGAGATTTCTAAAAGTTTTTCTAAAAATAAAAGGTATTACAGATAAACATGTACACAATGTGCTCCTGAATATACACAGATATGCAAACATTTTTATATGTATCTCTATATCTGTATTCATCACTATACCTTAATTTCAGAACCTCACAAGATTATTTTAAACTTCTGCTAAACCACAGTTTAAACTTAAGAGAAAACTCTCTCCCCTCAACCCCCCACTGATCAAACTTTCCCATCCAGGCCTTTAAAATCCTTCCCATGCCCAATAAAACATCTTATTCAGCGAAGAAAAGCCACACAACATTTTTTTTAAGACAATGTCTCAACATCTCTCAAAAATATTCCATGGCCAAACTCACCATAGAGAGCTGTCCAAGTTTGATTAATTACATCTAGACACACAGTTCCTGACCTGAAACAGATGGAAAGAATGGCATTTTTTTAAAAATCAGGAAGTTAGTTGCATGTATCTGGCAACTAATTTTATTTATCAAAAAAAATACTTTTAATAAATAATTTAAACAAAACAAAAAACAAAAACAAAAAAGAAGAGTCATCCCAATTGGGGAAGTATGGTGAGAAGCAGAATATACAGGGTGTGGCAAAAGTAGGTTTACAGTTGCAAGTACATGAAACAATTTATTCTTGTACTATATTATTGTATATTTTCCATATGAACAACATTTAACCTATTTTCCCCCCACCCTGTATACAAAGTCTTAAGTGTCTCCTTACAGATTGAAAGGGAAAAACAGTAACTATACAGTGGAGAAACCAACAACATCTTAGCCAGGTGATGAGAATAACACTGGTAACCAGAGGCCAACAGACCTGTGTGCCTCAGAACAGGACACCTGAGGAGGACACAATCTCACTGCGTGGCTTTCTGGCCTTAAGTGCACACTCAATGTAATGGTAAGGAAACATCAGACAAACCCAAGTTGAGGGACAGTCATCTTATAAAATAATTGGTCTATATTCTTTAATAATGTCAATTTCATAAAAAGCTGACTAAAGTAGTTCCAGATTAAAGAAATGGAACAACTAAAGGCAATACTTGAGCCTGGACTGGACTCTTTACTGAATGAAAATGCTAAAAAGTACATTGCGAGAATATGGCAGTAGATTAAAAAATACTACTACATTAATATTCAGTTCCTGAATCTGATGACTACATTGCAGTTACATAAGAGAGCACCCTTGTTGTTAGGATGACTGATACACAGAAGTATTAAAGGACAATGGGGCATAATGTATGTATACAAGCTGCTCACACAGGGGTCAGAATACCCCATATTTACATGTACATGTATGTGCATGAAATATCAAAATTTAGTGCCATGACAAGGAAAAAAAGGCAGAATAATCACATATTCTAAAAAGCACTGAAAGTAACAAAATAGGAGGCACTGGTATCACATTTTAAAATATCACTAATATTAGAAGGAAAGAAAGAGATAATTATGATTCAATAACTGAAATGAAACTATAATTATTCATGTTTGCTTTATTCTTGCACTCTGAGAAATGCTTTAAGGGCTGAAAATAATAAACCTGTATTCTGAAAACAGATCTCTGAATTGTGTCTGTACAAAGAGAACAGAGATGTGAAATATTACAGATGCTAGCTGGCTATCAAGAAAATGAAGGACCCATTCATGACAATGGAAAACCTAAGCAGTCCAATAGTAGAATTGGAACTAAGTGGTTAGAATATCATATCCCTGGGACTCTATAGTTTAAATGACTACTCATACAGTCCTATCTGCTGATATAAAGCAAAAAGATAATTGAAGCTTTCATATAATGAAGAAAGAGATGAACTCTAATCAAGAGCACTTGCTGCTAAGATTTAAACATTTTTAAAGTTACTTACGCTTCATCAATGTTGGGATGGAAAATTTTATTCATGAATCCTGTAAAAAGAGATGTTAATTAGCAGCAAAAAGTATCCAGAGAACAATTAGTTTTAAAGTATTTCTGTACTGGAAACAATTTCAGAATTGGAAAAAAGTGATGATAACCATAACTCATTACTTTCCATCTTAGATCTTTGATTACTGATAAGACTATATATTCTCCTGACAACGCCATTTACTTAAAATACATTAGAGTTCTAATAAAAAAAAAAGTGATCTTTGAGAACAATGCAACTTTTTATACAAAATAATCATTAAAAGAAATTTTTTTCTGAACTATGGAAGGTACTTGCGAGAAAATTTATAGTATTAATTTATAACTAGTGCTATGATAAAAGTTAAGAAAGCTCTTCTCTGACTCTCCTCCCCAAAGGTTTATTGTTCAATCTCTAAATTTGGAGGTTCTGCATTTGCACTTCTCTTTCTGAGGCTTAGTTACTGGCATCATTCTGCTACACTGTGTGCGGAACATCAATGAAACTGTTGAAATGTTAAAGGAGTACCACTTCCAAACCACAAAGAATTTCATAAGAACAGTGACCAAAATATTTCCTTTAACTTTAGTCTACTCATTCCAGGAAACCCAGCTTTGATTAAAATTGGGGCAAACAAGCAATGAGGCAAGGAGTTAAAAAAAAAAAAAAAAATTCTGTAAGATGGCTGGATGTCAGGGATCCAAGTTTTTTGATTTATTCATTGAAAAACCAGTACGGACTTCAACAAACATATTGATACTTAAATTCCAAGGAGAAATTAATTTATTTTCTAACTTAAAGCGGGTGAGGTATATAATCAGTTTGCAGGCATGCAGATGGCAATATTCTAAAGCAGAGATCCACTGTCATTTTATCATCTTTATCAAGTTGTTTCCTTTTAAAACTTCCTTATTCCATTCCACTTTCAAAAATCAAAGTTCCTTACTGAACTGACCATTCCTATTTCCCGTTCCCACACCCTCTCACCCCCACCTCACAGGGTTTCAATTTCCTTATTCAAATTATATTTGGTCAACATCTATGTGTCAGGCATTGTGCTTGTTTAGGGTATAAAATACGTAATAAACTATTCTTGAGGAGGTCTCTGTAGCTGCGGAACAAGAGACATGAAGAAGTAATGCAATATGTGCACAGAGCCAATACAGTCAGGGAAGAGGAAGAGGAAGCTGACGGGAAAGATTCAGAGAAGTGGCATCAGAGGAGGAGGACCCTTAAGAATGGGTTGTGACAGGGGATGTCTCGGAAAATCTAAGAAACTTCTCTAGATTTAGAAAAGGGGGATAAGAACATGAAATCCCAGACCTCGCTTGCTCTAGACACTCCAAGTACTAATTATGCTTTTAATTTTTGTTCTTTAAGCCTGTGCTGAAGCAGTCTATGTTTTATCTACTAGTACTGAGAGAGCCCGTGCAAAGTTTACATTACGCTGAGATAGTAAGAAAAGCCTTGTGTTTAATTACAATTTCATATTAATTTTTCATTATGGAAATGAAAGCTGTTTCAAAGTCTAGATTTAAGAGGTATGTGTTTATGAAGAGATTACACTAAGCAAATGGAAATGCTCCCGTCTTAAGGTTAAGAGGAGAAAAAAACAGGATAAAAACCTACATCACTCTACAAAAAACACTAATACAGGTGTTCAAGACCCAGGAGGATTATTCGTTGCAGTATTATTTATAGAAGCTAAGAAACAAATTCTACTCCATCCAAAGGGACTGCGGAAACTTTAAGTACATCCATATTACTGGGAATCCTATACAGCTCAGGTAATGAACCAGATCGGTAGGCATCAACTTGGATAGATTCAAACCTGAGGGGGTAAAAGGTTGCAGAATGATATATTTACTACATGATACCATTTAGAGAAACTAAAACAAAGCAACACCATGTATTTTCTATGATAACAAGTATGGAAATTGTCCTGGACCAACATATATCAAACCTGCAAAAGTAATTATTTCAGTGAGAGTGCAGAGCCAATGGTGGAATTAGGAAACAGAATGGGGGACGGTAATTAAACATGAATTTATAATACTATCTGCCTTTTTAAAAGAATGTGCTTGTATATTATTTGCTCCATTTTTTAAAAAGTGTACACATAGAAAACCAGAAGCAAGTATGTACAATTGTTAACAGTGCTTAATTCTGAGTGATGGAAATATTTTCTCCATTATACTTTTCAAACCACATGACCCTCGGCCCCACTCCCATTCCAGAAGGGGGATCCCAGCAATGCCAATGGGCTAGAGGGAAACAAACAAGTGTCCATGGTAAATCGGCTTTAGAGACTAGCCCCATGACGTCTACTATTCAGCTACTTGCCAGAATTTTTACAATGTGTAATTTTAACAGTTGAAAAAAACTTTCATATAAAAAAATTACAAACAGTAGTAAACATTATAAAGAAACCCTAACTATATATAGGTTATCCAGTGCTGTACCCTTTCAAGGAAAAGCGTCACTGAAGTCAACTATTTTATTTGAGTATTTATATCTTAAACACTCTTGTTTAAATAAAACAAATTCATTAAACAAAAATCAGAAAATCCCCAGGTTATGAGGCACCTGAGCATTGAGACCAGTTACGTAGAGTGCAATGCCATCGCAGCTGCCAGGGTGCTTCCTGGTGCACGGGAATTGCACTAGTGTTTAGCCTCTATAAGGTTTAATTCAAGAGACTTGTTCTGTTACGTGGAAAGTATTTTGCTCGAAGCTACAATTAAGAACTTAAAATTCTGCTTCTGCTAGAATTCTCTTAAGTAACACCTAGCGAGGCAACACCAATGGCAGAAGGTTCCCGTGCTGCCTGCAGGCAGAATCACCTGGAGAGCTCTTTAAAAATCCAAGTGCTCTTAGAACATGACAAGTGTTAGGGAGAAAAACATCGTACAGAAGGAGCGCAAAATAGGAATGCTGGGGTGAGGCTGCAATTTTAAATAGGATGGTCAGAGAAGGTGACTTAATCTGAAGGATGTGAGCGAGGGAGGAGTCATTCAGCATCCAGGGGAAGAGGGTCCAGGCAGCACAAGCAGCCAGTGCAAAGTGCACCAGGAGTTTGCCTGATGTGTCTGAAGACCAGCAGAGAGAGTAGTGAAACTGAAGTGGCGTGAATAAGGGGCAGAAGACTAGCGGAGAGGTCAGAGAGATAAGGAGCACTGTGGGCCCCTTTAAGGATGCTGGCTTTCCTTCTGCATAAGGTGGGAAGCTGGCTGGGGAAGCGTGATGGAGAATGGCAGATCCCAAGCCAAATGGAATGAGCTGTCTCTCCTACAGTAAGAATGAAGCTTCAACAACTTCTGTCACAGGAAACCTCAAAGGTATGTCAAGAAAACAGCTATGGTGAAAGACCTTTAGGTGCTTATTAAAACTGTCTCTGAAAGTTTAAGGTACCTCCCTCCTTGTATGAGGCCTGGAAATTACATTTGGAATCAATATAGTTTCCACACTGTTTTCAATTAAGTGTAGATTTTTGGCTTGGTTGAGTCTAGGAGTACCTAACAGAGAGGGCCAAAAAGGACTTAGTAAACATTTTTAAGTAATAAATGGGTTGGAGCCCAGTCCCCAGCGCCCCTGCTAAGTATAAGGCACCGTCTGAACTCTGCGACAGAGGGCAGAATCAGACTAGAAAGAGGAAAGTGCTGACAGAGACTTGGGGCTCGTGCCGGCTCTGCTATTAACTGCAGGCCTTGGGCAGGTCACTTCACTTCTGTGGGCCCGTTTCTCTGCCTGCAAAGAGAAAAAGCTAGACTCTATTACCTCTAACATCTCCAGTCTTACTCTGTTAGCCCTAAAAAGGTATGATTTAATAACCATGGCCAGGGCTCTGAATATAGAAGACTTAAGGGGAAATGTCCAGAGTTTAAGTCCTTAAAGGAAATTTATTCTGTAAGGCACATTTTCAGGAACGAAAGTATTCTGGAGAATACAAAGCTACCAACGTGCTAAAATACCACCAAGCGGCACAGCATCTGCTGACTATTCCAGAACAGGCAGAAAACAGGGACAAGCACAGAGCCAAGTCACCTCTAACAATGCCCAGACTACAATCCTCTCTTCCTATACCAGGCTTTTTCATTTGTTAGAAAAATACCCAGAGCAAATCAATGAAAGGAAGCATATGTATCTCCTATAAATTTGTTCTCGGCCAGGCTGCGGGCAGCATTTTTGGCGAAGCCACTTATATTCTGGATGATGGTGGCAACAATGGAACTTCTGGACAAGGCGGGGAGCAGACGAGAAAGGGCTGGCAAGGAATTCAGCAAAGGAAGGTTCTCAGGGCTGAGCGTGTTTGCCCTGGCATGTCCTCCTTCCTTTTGGCAACGCTAACACCGCACTAATGAATATATGTCTGCAACAAGAGAATTTTCCCAACACTTGTTTCCATTTGACCAGGAACTATTTTGAAGTTATTTTAAGAGAACATATTTTGAAAACTGCTTTTATGGAAACATGATAAGTGGAAGCAGCAAGTCATTTTTAATTTACATGACTTAAGATTTTATTCAGTACTGGCCATTTTCTAATGGTGTATTTCAGTGATGTGCCCAGATAAAACGCAGAACCCCTTTGTTTAAATCTCTTGGACGATTATTCCCTGGCATGGCTCAAGCACTTGTACAACAGGGGACAATTTAAACAAATGTTGAGCTGAAACACCTCCGTTCTCTTATCTTTTAGCAAAAGAGAATCTGATGATTTATAATTCTGGAGGAGAAATCCATTATCATACTTAGTTGATATAAAACTAAGTATTTTAAAAAATAAAAGCACAGATTTTCTTTTATCCTCACCTGAGAATATAGTCACTGTTTTTTTTTGGGGGGGGGCAGAAAAAGAGAGAGAGAGAGAGCACGAGCGAGAGACCGACTGGCTGCCTTCCTTATGCACCTCAACCGGGGGTCAAACCCGTGACTTTCTGGTGCACAAGACAACACTCGAACCAACTGAGCCGCCCAACCAGGGCAAGCACAGACTATTAAAAAAAACGCGATGCTTTTGACT